TAAAAATTGTTTTTAAAATTTTTGTATTTTTTTGAGTATAGTTAAATCTATGAATAATTAGGCATAAAAGGTAAACAGTTCACATGAAAGATTACATGTAAATAGCCCAATCAAGTAATCCTAGGGCTGGCTACTAGGAGAGGGTCGTAGGAAAGAATTTTTAGGAGGAGTAGGAAACTGTTTCTGAGACCTCTGTGAACATCCCCTTTAGGGAGATGTAGACAGTTGAGACTTATCATTTTCATTCTGGCAAACCAAGAGTTCAGGTATCTTCCTCTCTATCTTGCCTTTTCCATATCCTCATAAAAACAGAATAGCCCGAGTAGCATGATTTAAGGAAAGACCCTCCTGTCCAAATTTTTATAGACATTGGAAGATATTTCCAATGACCAGATAGGCATTCCTGAGAAGGCAGCTGATGAGTGTGGGAGGAGGTAAAGAAAGGAGACCAAGCAGTCATTCACATGTCAGTATAGGTTTTTATGATTAGCTTTCCCAGGTGTACTGTAGGATCAGGAATTCTTACTTAGAGAAAGCAGAGACAATACCATACAACCAGGTATTTCAGAGGCAGGTGAGAGATAGAGGAGTAGTTGAGCGGAGTGCTTTGGTTAAAGAAAGAGCAGCGTGTAGACTAGGCTCCTGGGAGACGAGGGTAGAAGAGCAGAGACATTGAAAGGTGGGTGACCAAACACCCAAACCAGATATGCCTCTGCTGCCTAATCCTCTCCAAATCCTTCCTCAATCAAAAGAAAGCTGCCATTCAACTATTAGGTGCCTTTACTCTCTTCTTACTCTGCTTTATTCCACCCCAAGTAGCATTAGAAAGCAGTGAGGCATGTGTCCTTGGAAAGCGAACTAGCTGCATTATATGAGTGCAGAAAGCCAGGGCAATCTTTGTTGAGGCAGGTCTAACAAGAGGCTCTGTTTACCAGCATTGGTTAGTTGTTGAATTGTGTGTTAGGCCTACACTACACTGCACATGCAGTGTAGGCCTGTGTATAACTTCAGTGAGGGATCATACAAACAAACAAATGAATCAGGCAGCGTCCTGCCCTCATGGATCTGGTTTAGCAGCCAAAACCAGATGTGTAAAATCATCATCGTCATAATGGCAGTATGTGGTAAGCACCATAAAGGAAGTACCAAGAAGAGTAGTTTTGTTGGTGGTGGCGAGAATGGGGAAATATTCTTTGTGAGATAATCTTTGAACTGACCTTAAAGGACAGGTAGATTTTTTGACACCTAGCGATGTAGAGGATGTTCTAGGTGGAAGCCAATGCACGAATGATATCTGGGTTTGATAAATAGTTTAGTCTGCCTACAAATTAGACCATATTAAAGTGAGTTATGGAAAATTATATGAAAAGGTTATGAATGCAGCTTTAGTAAGAGCCTTGATCAGACTTAAATATAGACGTTGATAGTTGATAGAGACCCACCGATGTTTTCATGAGGAGGAGAAAGTTTTAATTAGGGCTTTAGTTTGTTGATGTGCAGAGCAGTCTGGATTAGAGAGGAGAGAGACTGAGGTAATAGATAAATAAGAGTCTTCTGTGACCACAAAAGAGGTAATGAGACCTAACTGGGGATTGAAGCAGTAGAAGTGGAAAAAAAGGAGAGATGTTCAGAGATTCAGATTATGCTAATGTTTGAATGCCTGCTATGAGCCTGGTACTATACCATACTTTTTCACATGGCATAAATACTTGCAAAGTGGTTTAGAATAAGGAGGGAGAGAAAAGATGTTTCTGGTGTTGACTAAAGTTTACGATTTGGATGATTTGAGAAAATGGTGGTGCTAAAGGGGGAACAAGGTCGTCAAGGAGTGCTTTTTGTCTATTCTAGCTGGCAGTTGAAATGGATCTCAGAAGATTGGAGGGTTTGAAGAATAGATTGGGAGTCAAGTCTGACATCTCAGTAGAACAGACATCAGAAAAACAAGATATGTATTTTGATTCTGCCATTAATTAGATTCATATCTGGGTTAAGACATATATAATTTCTCCAGGACTCTTAGTTTCTCATGTCGGTTGTGAGGGTCTAAGTGAATGATTTCATGGTCCCTCTTCATTCTAGATTTTATCTTCTGTGTTTTATTTGTAAAATTATGAGCATCAGACTGGATTAGTTTCATCACTTTGTTTTGTCAGAAGTGTATTAATATCAGAGCTATCTATAATAGTACTTTCCACTTGAATTGTACTTCTTAACCAACCTTCATCAATGTGTATGCACTGGCACTCACTAGTTATACTCCCCTAGTTGGAAATTCATTAGTTAAAATATCACTGTAACACACAGTGTAACCTGGATATATTTTAAACCAGCCTCTGGGGTTTACATGGACCCGGGTTTTAAAAAGATGGAATTAAATGTAACCTAACAGGTAAATTTTAGGTTGGATCAAAGTGATTCAAATTAGGATGGTATTGTTTTATTTTACTTTTTTCTTCCATTATCTAATGATTTACAAATTTTATGTTTTAGGTTCACTAATGTATTTAAATGAAGCCACACTCCTCCATAATATCAAAGTTCGATATAGTAAAGACAGAATTTATGTAAGTATTTTACCTATGGTTTGAGTTTTTTTGGAGATAATTATTTTACATGATGCTGTTTGATTTTGTCAGTCTTGAAATTTTCTAACAGAAAATCGTGCCTGATCTGAGTTTGTTGAATAGAGTGTGAGTTCCATGAGGACAAGGATTTTTTCTAATATACTGCTGTAACTCCAGAGCTGACAGCATGCCTAGTACCTAATAGGCACTTAATAAATATTTTTGGAGTGAAATAATGAATTCAGAGCATCATCTAATGTCTTTTAGACTTAAAAATGTCCGATTTGAGTATTTTAAAAAACACTATAATTATTTTGGGTTTTGATTTCTTATTTTTGGTATATGTCTGTAGATCTGTTTAATTAATTCACTTTCCACATTGTTTTGCAGAGAATGTAAAGCAACCTATAAGAAATATATATTGACATTAAAAATTTGAATGAGGAAAAAATGTAGATTAGAATAGGAGGCAGTATCTGAGGAAATATCAAGAACACAGAAATGCTGATCATAGAGTCTAAATAGTTGCAATATTTCATTAGACCCTATTTTAAAAGTCTAGAACATTAAAAAATTAAACACAATGTTTTCAGTGCGAATAGTCAAAGTTTGTACCAAATCATTCAGAGAGATACTTAACTAGTATTTTAAAATTATTAATATAATCATTTATTGGGCATGTATGAGATTTTATTCTAATAAGACCTAGTGATAGATTCCTTTGTTGGCTGGAGATAAATTACCCCACTTAGTTCTCTTGTTATAAAGATGGACTCTTCATTATTTTTGAACGAAGAAAACACATGGCTTCTTTGACACTTACTAGATCAAGTGACAGTCTTAATCTTTTATATCACTATCAATTTGCCTGATTGTACTGACTTAATTCTGACTAAATTACATTTAGTCTTTGCCATCTGTCTAAGTAGTGACAGCTGGGAAATAGAACTAATGTAGTCTATTCCAAAGCAGTTTACTTGCCGTCTTCCGATTGTATACAGTATTAAGACTTTTCTCCTTGATTTAAAAAAAAATCAACTAAAGAGTATATTTAGGTTTAAACGTCTATTCTTGATTAGAAATATATTTAGAAGCAAAATTCACTTAATCAGCTGACTCATGTTGAGCATCTTGTGTGTGCTGAATTCCAAACTTAAAAGCAAGTTTAAGTTGCTCATTAAACATTTAATCCATCAATTTTCTAGGCAATGGTTAGCATATGTTGTTTTGTAGAAATCTAGGACCTCATGGTCACCTCAGGCTAAATCAGTCCTTGACAGTCAGTGATGGGGACAGACCTAGAGGGTCCCATGAGCAATATTAAACTCTTCAGTAGCAGGATGAATAAAGTAGGTGAGGAATATAGATGACCAAAACTCAGCTATCAGAATAGAACTATGGGAGTAGATTTCGTAAGTAGAGTCAACAGAAGCACCCTCAGTGAGACAGAGGCTAGAGACTCAGATCTCTGTCTGTGGTGACGCCATGCACCTGGGAAAGCACATGGGAGGAGAATATTTTCTTTGAGTCAGACGTAGGTGGGAAGAGAGAATCTTGGCTTTGAATATGCTGAGTTTGAGATGCCTACCAGTGAGAAGATACAAATATTTAAGAGTTGGAGAAATACGGGTCCTGTAGAGACCAGGGAATATTTAGGGCTGATTTGGGAAACCCGGTTATTTAGAGAATTGAAATTTGCTGTATTTTATTTCTTTATTCTGTAAGCCTTGTTTAGCTTTAAATGAAAACAGTAATTGGAAATTTTTATGTTTATGCTTTCCTTATATAGACATATGTCGCCAACATTCTGATTGCAGTGAACCCATATTTTGACATACCTAAAATATATTCTTCACAAACAATAAAGTCGTATCAAGGAAAATCACTTGGGACAATGCCACCTCATGTCTTTGCAATTGGTAAATAATTTAGTTGTGTTTTAATTTTTGTCTTTCCTTATATTGTACAAATTTACTTAGTTTTTCTTCTGGATTAATAAAAGATAGCATGAATTGAATGTGTATTTTGGAGGACCTGTATGCATCTTGGGTGTATCAACATTGTTAGGAGTAGGTATTTTACACAGGGTGGGGAAAAATACTTTTGCAACCAACTCATGGGGTAGTCATACATCATTATCTTTGTGAATGCCTGTGTCCTCTTAGGCATATTTGCCCAGTTGAAAGTAGGACATGATAAAACCTGACCTAATGGTACTTATTGACTCCTCAATTTGAGAAGCTTCATCTTAAAAGTGTCCTCTTTCATGGTTTTGAGGTCCAGGCCTTCCTTTCTTACCAACTCTTCACTTGGGAGCATGTTACATGGGCTAGAATTGAGCTGTAAGAGCAGACTTCTGTGTATCGTCTTGCATCAGGGCTTTACAAAATTAAAAGATTGAAATTGGTATATGCTTCATACCACTGGAGAATCTTTGTGGGAAGACAGTAGTGTGTGTCTCTGTCTTTCTCAGCCTCTCTCTCATCTTGAAGCTCTCCGGCTCTGAGGCACAGAGAAATGGAGTTATTTGATCAGAATTAAAAATTACCCCTCTCCCCACCAGGCACAGAGATGTTAGATAACCCTTTGCATCCAGATGCAACCAAGTAGCTAAGTGATATGTGCTGGTGCTGGTTCTTAGTGCAGTCTGTTTCTCTTTGGGCTTTCCTGTCATGCTTGTGTTTTGGCCTAACTGGACTTCACTTCCAGATTTGGTTGCCCTGTGTTCTGTGTACTACCGGGCAGAGTAAATATGTCAGCTACTTGCAGGGCAGCAGCAAATTTACTTCTGGTTCTAAGAAGCTCTGATGGGCATCAGTATGTTTTTTATTAGCTTGCAAAATGGTACCCAGTCCTTAGAACCTGAATATGAGCAAGCTCATCACTGGAGAGAAGTTATGTATTTGAAATGTAAATAAGCCAGCTTTTATTTTTAGCCTTTTACTGCTAAAAAAAAAAAGTGTTTGGACCCCCTTCTGTTAAAGGGGGTAGAATAGGTTGCTGATAAATTGGATAAAGGGATGTGTGTACTCTTGCATATGATTTGTGTTCTCCCCTTAGAGTAAATGCCTTCTTCATTGGTATAGGTAGCACACAGTCCGAGATGAAAAACAGTCTCACAGAAGCCAAATTGGTCAGGCGCTAATTTTAAATTAAGATTGTTTTACTTTGAGACTGCTTTAGCAGCATAAAATTGTTTTCAACTTGTTCTCTGTAGTCTTAAAATTTAAGATATTTTATAGCCTAAATTGCTGGAATGTAATGAAGTTAGTTAAAAATTATATGTATAAATAATGGCAAATGGAGGAAATTTAAAGTAGTTAATTCTGCCTATCTTCGAAATGCTGATAGATTCTACAAGATGTTTAAATTTAATAGTAGTATTACGGGGGAAAAAAACCCCCACAGATTTATTTTGTAATTATGTATTCTTTTCTCCAGCAGAATTTTTTTTTGTCATATTTCTTAATTGGAAGCTTGTTACTGCTTGCTTTTCACTGGGGACTTTATTAGTTATGCATAGTGAGCATTTTTATCCCTCTGCAGATCTGCTTTGGTGTTAGGGAGAGCTGAGCTATAGCTCATAATTATGGAGACATTCTAGCAAAATTTAATAGTTGTTTATTCGGATATCATATTACTTAGCTGTTAGGGTAACAAGATAGAACATTGAAAGTAAATATTTTTAGAGATATATTGAACACTTTTGAATGATTTTATTTTAAAATTTCGTTAATTATAAACACACATTTATATTTTTAAGAGCAGGTGCTCCTAAAGGGAACTATCATTTAATAATTTTATATTTAATATATTCCTCATTAACATGGTTTTTTTGACCCTAGCTGATAAGGCTTTTCGAGACATGAAGGTGCTCAAGATGAGTCAGTCTATCATTGTATCTGGAGAATCAGGAGCTGGCAAGACAGAAAATACAAAATTTGTTCTAAGGTGTGTATTTAGCTAACCTGAAATATTTTGAACAGATTGCCTTTTTTTTGGGTAAAAAATGCGTAACATAAAATTCATCAACTTAACCATTTCTAAATGTACAGTTTTGTAGTGTTAAGTATGTTCACATTGTTGTGCACCCAACTCCAGGACTTTTCATCTTGCAAAACTAAAACCTATACACATTCAACAATAGTTTCCATTTCTCCACTCCCCCAAGTCCCTGGCAACCACCATTCTACTTTCTGTTTCTATGAATTTTACTATCCTCGATACCTCATATAAGTGGAATCATGCAGTATTTGTCTTTCTCTGACCAGCTTATTTCATTTAGCTGAATTTAAGATTTATCCATGTTGTAGTATGTCAGAATTCCCTTTTTAAGGCTGAATACCATTCCACTGGAATTATATGCCACACTTTGTTTATCCAGGCAAACTTTGTTGGTGGACTCTTGGGTTGCTTTTACCTCTTGGCTATCGTAAATAGTGCTGTTATGAACATGGGTGTGCAAATATTTCCTTGAGAATTTGAACAGGTTGACTTTTAATACCTGGACATACTTTATGGCACAGTTTGGAATGGTGGGCTCTATCCATTTTAAGAAACAGACACCTTGTGTGGAAGCTAATCTACGGATTGTTGAAAGCCAGCTCTGACATGTTAATCACTTGAGGATCCTGGAGGATACCAGCACTGGTTGGGCAAAGGGAAATTTAGAGATGTTCCTTCAAAATCCACCATCGACATTCTATTCTCAGTATATCTGCTGTTGGTATGGTTGAAACCATTTTTTACTTTAAGCTTTTGATGGTTATCTGCCTTATTTCTGCTCTACACAGCTCTCCTTTCAGTGTGTTCCCTTTGCTGCCATTGGACTCTACATTTTGTTTAGAATCATAGCATTTTATAAATGGAAGGAATCATAACACTCATTATAGTTTAGTTCTTTTAATTTACATACCCAGGGAGATTAACTCTAGTGGTTAAGCTATTGCTAGGACCAGCACATTCACCAGGGTTGTTCCTACTGTGTTGAAGTTCTTAGTTGATTGCCACATGGTCAGACCCTTTTTGAAATTTTGCTATCCATTATGTAAATATGTATGCCATTGAGAGTTACTTATTGAAAACCAATTGAAGTGCTTCAGGAGGCTGAGGCCAGGAGTTCGAGACCAGCCTGGGCAACATAGCAACACCCTGACCCCACAAAAAGAATATAAAAAAAATTAGCCAGGCCTCCTGGCGCGTGCCTGTAAGCCCAGCCAGCTACTCAGGGCCCGAGGCAGGAAGATCGCTTGATTGAGCTCAGGAGGTGAAGGCTGCAGTGAGTCATGATTGTGCCACTGTACTCTACCCTGGGCAAAAGAGCGAGACCCTGTCTCTAAAAAAGAAAAAACAATTGAAGAGTTTGTTAATGGCTGTTATATATATGCTATTCTGGTTAAATGAATGCTTTTCAATACTCTTGGATTTCTAAGTGGCTCAATTTTTTTATTCTTTCTCTCCTGTATGTAATAGTCATATGGTGAGTCTATTGTCAATAATGACAATGAATAAAAAGTTAAGAAACTGTAAACTTATAATATAAACTTATATTGTAAATCAAAGCTTATTCTTTGTTTTGAAATGTGCCAGGGAAATAGTTGTTCTATTGCATTTTATCTTTCAGCGTAACATGAAGTGTGATAACTTCCTAATTGTTCCATGGCAAATTGCTTTATTTTCCGTAGCCATAAAGATTGAATTAATAGACTGTCACAAAAGGCTTTGGAATCTCGTATAGTTGAATATGCCCATGTAGTCCCATGTTGCCGTAAGTGTATGATATATTTAAATAGTTGATTAAAATCAGAATATTTCTAAAAACAATTTTAAAAAATGTTGATTTAGGCCAGGCGCAGTGGCTCACACCTGTAATCCTAGCACTCTGGGAGGCCGAGGCGGGTGGATTGCTCAAGGTCAAGGAGTTCCAGACCAGCCTGACCAAGAGTGAGACCCTGTCTCTACTAAAAAATAGAAAGAAATGATCTGGACAACTAAAAATATGTATATTTTTAGGCATGGTGGCACATGCCTGTAGTCCTAGCTACTCGGGAGGCTGAGGCAGAAGGATTGCTTGAGCCCAGGAGTTTGAGGTTGCTGTGAGCTAGGCTAACACCACGGCACTCACTCTAGCCCAGGCAACAGAGTGAGACTCTGTCTCAAAAAAAAATGTTGATTTAGATGTTAAAGGCAATCCAATAGAATTTTAAATAAATTTTAAAAACTATAAAAAAATAGTTTGTATTTAAACATAAATTTGTAATTTTTCAACAAACAGTTCTAATGATCATCTAGGTTTCCGTTTTACATGTGTTAAATAATATTAAAATTATGTTGTGTGCAATGTTATTCTCATCCACATTTTTTAATTTTATATTTTAAATAGATACCTGACTGAATCCTATGGAACAGGTCAAGATATTGATGATAGAATTGTTGAAGGTATTGTTAATTTTTACTTTCTATTGTTAGGCATGTACTGAAATTAACTTATAAGAATCCTTTTAGTGGTCTGGAATGTTCTTCTCTCAGACATGCAAAAGACTCTCCCATCTCCTAGAAATCTTTGCTCAGATATCTTCTTCTCATTTACTTAATGTCTGTGATCTCTTCTCCCACCCCCAACCCATGTAAGCACTAAGAAGGCAGGGGTTTTTGTTTTATATTCCAAACCCCCAGGGTAGCACCTGATACATAGTATAAATATCTGTTGAATGAATGAAAGAAATATAGGCAGCTTTTTGACTTTCTTTTGTTTTGTGGACTTTGGTATTAAGGTGTTTTTTTTGGAGAACTCATTTTAATGGAAGAATATACTTGGAAGGCAAGAGTGTGTAAACTTATTTCCTTAAGCTTTCCATTCTGTATATCCCCTTAGAAAGTCTTCTTGTGCCTCAGTTAGGAGACTCCTGGTCCAGGCTACCATAACGTGGAATCTGTACCCCTCCTCCTGTATCATAGACTCCCCACTTACATTCTTGCTTTTCCTTAATCCAGTCTCTGTATGGGAGTTGGATTGATCTCTTTTCCTTTAAATCTTTTCATGGCTTTATATTGCTCTCAAGATAATGCCCCAGATCTGCACCTTCACCTACAGTCCTCTTTGTGGTCTGATTCCTGCCTCTTCTGGTCTAACCTTGAGTCATATTTCTTCTGACTCCTTATGCTTTAGTCCTGTTGGTCTCCTTGTAGTTCTGTGAGCTGTTTTAGGCTTCTCTAGGCACTCTTTCTCTTTCCCCCTTCCTCACTGTCCTCCACTAGCTACTCAGTAAGTATTTTAGTAGTGATATCAACATGTGTGATGTAACAGGCATTGTCTAATTTGCTTAAAATATGTTCTCTAATTTAAATCTTCATAGAATGAATTAGGTATTATTTTATCCCCACTTTAAAGGAGAAAAACTGAGGTGATAATAAGAGTTTTAGTAACTTGCTGAAGATCATACAGCTCATCAGTTGAGGAAATGGGATATAAACCTAGGCATCATAACCACATATAATACTAAATGCGTATTTTAACACTAGACATTTTAAAGGAAAATTTTAGTTGAACAAAAATTTATTAGGGAACTTCTATGTTTATGCATTTTGCTAGCTCATAGCTAGCAAATTTTGTGTTTTCCACAACTCTATAAAATATGCATTAGATGAATCTAAATCCAA